ATTGCATGCAGCCGAAAATAAGTTCTTTCGAAAGCCGACACCCTGAGGTAACTGGATCACTATAGGTGTATGCTGCATCATGATTATTTTTACAACACTACTTAATTTATCTTTTCGAAACGAGAACGCATTTCGAAATTTTGGTTGACATTTCATGAGTTAGCACACCTACTGTACTTTTAACACTTAAATGGGTTCGATTGAAAGATCAAGTTTGCTTGGTGGTATCAAGGCAAGCCTTAAGATAACCTACTGAGTCCAGAACTCGGGAACTTGTTATTGATTTTTTGGCTGGACAGAGAAGTCGTGGACGAGCATGTTTACGTTTTCTAACACTTCACATTCAAACGCTCAGTCTCCCACGCAGTACGTTCTGAGGAGGACAAGTGTTATGGTAGAGGACGGTACGAGACCTACCTATACCGTAGTGATTAGAAGTTCGATCTAGAGCCCCGTAGGAGTCGTACAGCGACCACTAATATGTCCAGAGAACGATTACCGACAAAGAAAAGGAAAACCAGAATGGTCCTTTTTGCTTTATTGACCGTCATCAGCCAGCCATACCCTACCCCGTGGCCTGCAACTCCCATACTCGCGTTCTGTTAGTTGAAAGTTTAACACAGGAGCCTTAAACCACGGGCTCGCTGTCCTGTCGGTCGCGGTCAGAAAGATCAACCATGACATAGGGCGCTCTACAATCGTGTTACGGACATTTGTATGGTAATTGCTAATAGATTTTCAGAACGTGAACCAGTTCGAATTAAAAACATAGCAGATGAGTTTGTCTGTCAAAATTAAGTGAAGTCTTAGCCTAGGCTAGTTACCACAGCATTCGGAAAAGACTCATTCATTTTGAATTGAACACTGAGGGCAAGGAAGAGCATTATTACGTTTTCTAGCTCTAGCAACTCTGCCGCATGAGTTCGCAGTTTTTTGGCAAACGAACAGAGGGGTTCAGAATCAGGGTCATTTTTAACTTATAAAGTGTCTTTTTTATGACGTTTAAACTTCTCTTGTAAATTCCTGTCCATTTTCAACTTTACATTTGGTCACCCAAATCGAAACATTCTAGTCGACCACAGGATTTTCCTTTGAGCTTTCCACAAAATCCTATGTTTGTCTTTAATCTTAGCAGCTTACGCACCTCCGAACTAACCGACGTCCGAGGTTCTCCGTAAAACACAACTCAACCTAGGCGGTCTTTTTGAGTTGTGCAGAGCCGTCGTTATTTTTGCGAATTGAAAGTTTTATAAGTAACGACTCGTACTCTGTAGGCGCCTGTGTTGCTGGAAAAAGCCCATCTGTCGCATGGGTTTTCGATTTATGTCAATCGATCAGAAGCGCGTGAAAATGTGATTGGTTTTATTGTTCAGAATTTCACTAGAAGGGCTAAGCGCCCCTCGAAAATCCCTCTTCTTTTCTACTTCCCTTACGATCGCCTGATTTGAATAAATCCAGTCGTCCGCAGGATTTCCTTCCATCCTTTTTCGTACATACAAGTTTTGAGCCAGTTTCATACGTCATCCTATGCTTTCTCAATCATATCAAGGCAGCTTACGCAACTCTGAGCAAATCTGCGACTAAAATTCAAAGTAAAAGCAATCCAGTTTCAGCGGTTGTTTGTGCTGTGTAGAAGCGCTACTTTTTTACAGTTGAAAATATGGTTATAACTTTCGCCCTATTCTGCGTAGGCGCCTGTGTTGCCGGAGTAATCGGCCTGACCATGCCAAGGTATTGTCTGTTCGGTGACACAATCAATACTGCATCCAGGATGGAGTCGTCTGGCGAAGGTGAGCATATACGTAAGACACTTTTAAAAACTGTCAGATGGAAGAGTAATTGAACGTTCTTGCGCCATGTCGGTACTCACCATGCTATGCCTGCTGCAAGCATCGCCGGCTGCGTTTTGTTTTACTATGCCTCGGTAAGAACACAAGCCATTTGCTTCCTCGATGTCTCTGAATGGTTTCCGTTTTTGAACGCGTACACCTGACTTATTAATTTCTTTAAGAATACCTCTGCATAGTCCCTCTCATAAACAATAATAAGACAACAAAATTTAGTTGAGAGGTGGGTTTGCACAACCAGCCGTTACCTTGCATCTTTCCAATGCCACATTTCGCCCCTCGCTGATATGTCAACAGAGAAAAAGTCCTACCATCAACCAATGAACGTCCTGACCTTGCATAGCTAAGTCTCCCAGAGATTAACACTTTGCAAGGTGCACGTGGCTTGCATGGATTAATCAATGCAGGCTTACGGTTTATTTATCAAATTCCAGTGACTTTTTTTATTTCTATTACCGGAAAAAAACCAATGTTTGAAGAAAATATGACACTGTTTAAATGACGTTGATGGAACTCGCATCGCGTGGACGGACCAGCCTGACAGTTGCTGATTCTATGGTTTTTGTTGTATTTCATACCAATTTAACGATATTTCCTTTGAATTCCGTGCATCGATTTAAAATAACACCAAAGCTAGCAACGAATGCTCCTTGCATTTTATGACGAGAAATAAGGAATAGCTGTCTTTCTGGCACCTTGTCCATCGATATTCGGTCGTGTGCGTGTAGTTCAAGCAAACTTATTGGAATTTGTACGGTAATTGCAGTCGGGTCATCGGTAGGCTCTGAGTCAATTGCAGTTCCGCTAACAATATTGGCCTGCATATGAATATTTTATTTTGTAGCTCAGCATTGCTTAGCACGAAACGTAATATTTCGCCAGAAAGTGGCCTCTTTGTATTCGCAAAAATAACGCTTAACTTTGGACTTTATGTCCAGAGTTCATGCCCAACTGTTTGATTTTATTAGGACTGCCAATGGGAAAAATTGCGAATCAACTGTCGTCTAGAGGGACAGCACACCTCACCTCTGCTCAGGTTTTTATCATTCAGGCAGTGCCCGCGCCTTGATTTCCATCTAATTCTTTTCGCTGCGTATTCGCTGTTAAATTATCCGTCCTAATGTCAAAGCCGGCTCCTATATTCCACCTGTGCTATGCGAAAACCCGGAGGTGTTGATACCCCTTTCACGAAAAGTCGATTCGGAAACCGATTTTTTAACGTCCCGCGCGGTCAAATTTACTAAGAGATTGTCCAGCCAGGTAGTGTAAGTTGGGTTTTCGTCGCAGTACATAGTAGCTTGGAAAGTAATAACTGAGGGACAGCAAGAAGGAAGAATGGCACAGAAAGGGTTGCTTGTTTCAGGTGAATCATTCGCGTCTTCACGAAGTAGGCCGTTTTGTTCAGCGGTCGGCAAATGGCAACTTGAATCCGCGCTCGAACTCTTAGTCTGGCAACCTGCGTCAGAGCTCAAAACAGACTTCATCAAGTACCTGCTAAGCCAAAAAAATCAAAATAGTTTAGTCAAATATGGCGGTCATTTATGCCTACTTGAAATGCATTTTGCTCAATGTGAGGAGAAACGGCAACTTCATTTCTGACCCAATTGTGAAAAACTCGGCGACCTCAGTGGGATTGGAATCAACGACTATAAAGGAAAGGCTTGGGCACAGTCAACGTTCTAGCCCGCGTTGGGAGCGGTGAGTTTAATATCATTTGTGTAAATTTACACGTCCAGCCTACTGAAACTAGTAGAATTCACCAAATCGAATACAGAAAACTGACTGCTCAAGCAGGATTTCCCACCTAATCAATCTGGAATACACGGGATGACTACCAGTCACATGTAATGTGAAAGGCAAGTCTCGGAAAAGATGGCAGGACAAGATAGTTCAAAAACAAAGTAAATGTTAATAGTTGATCACGAAAAATCACTATTACCGTGAGGTTTGTCTTATATCAACCAGTGTTAAGAGAGAAAGTGGGCACGATAAATAAAGACAAACAGTTAATCCCGTACACCGCCACAAATCCATCCTGGCAGTATTTTTACAGCTAAAGATTCGGCTTAAAAATTCAAGTAGTTGGTTGCACTTTCCTCTTGCACGAAAGCACAAGGCTTCCAACAAACCATCCTCGCCTACAGACACGCACATATTGACCCAGGCATAGGGAGAATACGTCACTGTAAACGTTTTTCGTCATCCAGATTATCGCAACGCATTTGACTTGGTTGAAAGGTTACTTTGGTTTTGGAATTGGGAGTAATCCGGTCATTTCAGGAGCGTCATCTTTCTATGTACTGTGTTCAGCACTGAGGATACATGTCAGTCCTTCAACCAAGGCAATACTGGACGAACTCAAAGGATACAAACTAGAATACCGTGGCAAGGTGACTCTGAAGGGTCGAGGCGACGTGGACACGTATTGGCTAGAGGGCAAAAGGGGTTTCAAGAAATCAATAAAAAGGCCCCTTGAAAGTGACGGGTTAGTATTCCTATTCTTGATGTGGTCTTCTATTCAATTCCCTTGCCGAATTTTCATTGACAAACGACTTAGGAATTGACAATAGTAAATTACTAGAGAAAGCACGAACTGTGGGAGAAAAATAGGCAATCGGTGATGGCACTAATAGTATAACCTAACATATACAACATGAAAATTAAGCTGACCAATTGGCTCGCTGGAAACAAATATTGAAAAGTGAACTTTGAAATATATATTCCAGAACAACGATAGTTGTAACGTCGAAAGTGACGGGATCCAACACTGGCTTACTCACGATTTTCCCCCATGCGCCTGTGACCTGTCCCTGCCAGACCGACTTCACGTGCTATTGGGCTCATTTATTTGCGTGGTTTGACGTTGTGGTGGTCAAGCGGTGTGAATGTGTAGCATGTGAGCTACAATCGTTAGGTCAAATCCCATGTTTGAAGGAAGAAGACAGAAGGAACCCGAATGAGGGGTTTATTGTGCACAGAACCCGGTGTTGTCCTCTCAGGAGGCAGTGGCCACTGGCGAGGCCAGGGCTAGTGTTGACTGCGTCCAGTCAGGCCTGAGAGTCCTTGAGGTAGTTGTGGCAGCCGCTTTTGTAGGCTCGTGGTCCAAGCTCCAGTGGTGTCCAGTCAGCGTGTGTTGCATTTGCCGAGGGGTGGTGTCCCAGTGGCTTGTTTTGCTGGTTGCAGGGGGTGGCGCGTTCAAGTGGCCGCATGGGCAGCTGCGACTGCGCGGACGCAGGTATGCCCGAGCTGTTGGTCGTGTGACTTCAGGTCAGCTCGTCGGGGACGGCTCGCTGCAAGGGGTGAATGACCTTGAGGCAGCGAGGTCTTGAACAATGACGCCAGACCAGTCAGGATGGCTAGTCGCCACAACGTCCTATCTTGCGTACGACGTAAGAATTCTGCAACAACAATGTCCATTATACAGATAACTAGAATCGTGAAGATTGGAGGTTATCATGTTAGTGCAAATCCGCAATTCAACACTGAATTTTACCTTTTATCTTCTGATATGTATATATAGATATAGATACATGTGATATATGTGAGTACATAGAAAGGGAGAAAAGAAGCTAATTTCTGGGCTAGGGAAGGCCATGCTGGCTTCATCCCTTAATAGTACAGTTAGTAGTACACATCTGATGTGGAATATATAGACAAATACAACGGACGACGTCGTGTTTAGGTATTGTTGCCGATAAGGCAAAGGTTAAATCAAACTCAGGCCTGCCTTTGACCCTATAAATAGAAAGCGATTGACCCAAGAAACCAAGATAACCGCAATCATTATCGAAATATCGCCTGAATTTTACCTGTCTAAAATAGAGCTTTGTCGGTATTGACGGTTTGGTTGAAAACTGGAGCGTGCTTACCTGCTGAACTATGTATTCGAAAATCACAACGGTTGCAGGATACCTTTCTATAAGCTGTGGGAGTAGCAACCGGGTATAAAGAACGCCAACCTAACAAGTCTACTACGAGGCAGGCCGTCAAGGCAGGATGTGGCGGTGTTTCATAGAATGCTACATTTCCGCCCAAACCTGGCCGTCGCGTTGTTGTCTCGAAATCGAACTCCCCTCTCTCCCACCTTATCAAGTTTCTTTGTTGGTTACTTTTACCTAAAATTTTTAATTATAGACACCAGTTTATTTTGGACTTGCTACGGAAGATAAGCCTGTCCACAGGAGGTCCCGCCACGAACGATATGGGGGAGCAGAACGAGTACCTGAATGCTTCACAGCGGCCTTCGTTGGACACGGTGGGACGAGCAAGTCTGGACTACACTACCTTCTTCCAGTCTAGTTTAAAAGTACCAGAAAGGTCTCGTCGCAAGGGCAGTTTCAGATTAAGTGGAGCAGATCAAAGAAGGAGCTGGAAACGTAAATCGCAGGAAGGTCTCGAAGGAGGATTAAACGAAAAATACAGACCACGTAAACATCACTGAAAGCAAATTCATATGGTTCCATCCCCAGATCATTGTTGTCAGACACCACCTTTCTTAATGAGTTTGTCTGCTTGAACACTCTTCTCACCTGAATGCGTCATACTGCATAAAGCGAGAAAAAAAGAAAGACTGGCATTTAAACTTTCATTTTTTTCTGCATGCTACTCTATCTATAACCAAGTCTCTATAGCCAACTCCCATAGCAGAACAAGTTCCACTAGAAAGGAGCGACCGATCGGTGCGTGGGGGTGGACAGAGATGGTGTCGTGGAGAACGGTATCACTGCTGGTGACGAGAGGGTGACTGCGGGATTCGTATCTGGATGCATCTCGTCAGTGGAGGAACCGACATAACATTGATCAACTGCCATAACTTTGAGACAGATCATGGGAGTCATGTGAAGGAAATATATGGATGGTTTGGACAACCTGCCGATCACTTCATTCTGCATTCCGCAGAAATTTTGATGTCTTATGTGATAAAGTCCAAGTGATGGATTAACCAGGAGCCAGTCATTATAATGGAGGACAACATTACAAAGCTAAGGAGTTTGTACTGTCTGAAGATTATGAAGACGCCGTGCTTGACGAAGCTCCGAAGATGCTTAAAGGCGATCTACAAGTTGATCACTTTACGTCCAAACTGCTGTACAAAATCTTATTAAGAAAGAGTTTTCTGGAGATGAAGCAGTTAAGAAGTTGGCGGGACCTGCGAGATGTTGCAGTAATACTGCCCATCAGAAACCTTTATGACATTGAAATGGTGGAAGAAGGGGGAGTCGGTCGGTAGGCGAGTAGGTTGGCGAGTAATCCACGGCCTGTTTGACCCCGTTAAGCGGAGGGAGGACGCATAGTAAGATTGCCCACTGTGCTGGTGATTGGAAACAGTGCTTGTGGTCGGATGTATATTATAAGCGTAGTTCGGGAGGAATTGATGGCAAAATCTTGTAATATGGCGCAACCACTTTAGCCTGCACTCGGTATGCCTCCACTTTCGGGAGTAACAGATGAACGCCGGTAGATCCAACCAGACAGTTCAAAATAGACGGGACGGCGGCGCACTTAAAGTTGTCGATTATGACGCTTCCATCCTGTTACTTGCTAATCACTAGGGCGAAACATTCATCGTTTTTCTAGGTTTCGGTACAGGCCACTGCGATGTTACAAATGCAACTGTAACAAAGCGGCTTCCGTGTATGGCTCAGGACGAAGGTCGCTGACACTTGTAACAATGCGAAGATATTCAAATAAGTGATGATGGCCATCTTCGGAGGGTCTTGTGTGGTAACAGAAGTCTGATGACATGTTCGGATCAGATTGATTTTGGAGAAGAGGGATCTGCAGAATAGAGTGCCAGCAAAGTTCTGAAAAGTATGGATTGGGTAACTCCCCGGGATGATGTCATTTCTCAGCAGAATGCAGACGCCGCTGGTGCCTCCGCCGCTAATTGCGGACTCTTAAACCATGTGCATGTAATACTGAGTTGCAACATACGTTGGTACTTTAGCTTGACGGTAGTCGTACGCGCAAGTGCGAGATGGTGGAAACAGAAAAGCCTGGAAGACTTCTGGCCTGGATGCATTAAACCCCATCGCAACTATGGGCAACTGTGTTGAAAATGGGAAGCGTGATTGTGAGATAGATGAGAAAGAGCAGCCAAAATGGTCACCCTGGAATGAAAGTCCCGGACAGCTAGCTGACTTTGGCTCCCGAAAGAAGAAAATGTATCGATGGATAGGGTATTTCCTCAATGACGAAGGCGACATTACTGACAGTCAATGGTGAGTTTGAATGCAGGAATTTTGTCACCGTAACGACCTGTGAAAGTAGACGATGTAGTGTAATTTTCAGAGACAGAATGCAGTATCCGTAGTTGGTTGTGAGGATGGGATCTCAGACCTGTACGATAAAACGCCATACAACCTTGGCTTCGAGTGAATGGAAGGTCAGCCGTCAATGGGTCTGTATGAGAATACAGTGATCAGTTTCTTTGCATTTATTCCGAAAATGCCGTACCTTTTTCGCATTGGTGTTCCACTATTAGATTTACGCATTATGCACACTAAAACTGCATGCAACTTTTTGTAAGTTACCCGTTTTCCCTCACACCAGTACCGTTTAAAGGGAGTTTTCAGGGCTTCTGTCGTTTACTCCAAACATATTGGCGCTTACTGACTGTGTCTGTTAAATAAAATAATTTAATTAGAATGTAAGAGTGGTTTTTAACATCCGCCGTCCGCTCCTCCTTCTTTGCAGCATCTTTTATTTTGAGTTTTTGACAGCTACCGGTCGAGACTTCTGAGACATTCTTAAACACCCTTAGGAACAATGTAAATTCTCCTGAATATGTTACTGGTCATTTACATAAATAATTTTCCTGGGAGCATCAATAAAACTGGTTTCATTCACGCGCGCTGGATGATTATCAAGGAATTTAACCATTGCCTCCACGAAGACCTCTACAACGGGTGAGCAATACAATTCATGCAACCCAGCGCTGTCGTCATATACAGAAACGTCCCGCTAAATGATAATATGTTCGGGTTTGCGAGTGCATAACTACAAGTTTACCTGTTTTAAGGACCTGCGTTGTAAAGCACGTCATTAAGAAATACTGACGATGGTTTCTCCTATCTTTACCGTTTTTACTTATGGGTAATCGGTTTCAAGTACATGGCTTGTCGGTCCTTCCCGAACGATGCGCACAACATGACGTCAAAATTTGCAAGCATCCTGAAAATTTGAAGGCCGCTTATCCGATCTGTGTCTTGCGTATTTTAGACATACGTTGTAAGTTGTTGGAATTATATTTCATTAATATATTTTACTTAGAGACAAATAGCGTCAATCATTAACCTTCTGTAAAAATCTCCCACATGTCACGACCAAAATACAAATAATCATGCTTCTTCCTTAATTATAAAGTCCAACAGCAAGCGCGCATCTCTATCCCTCTTCTTGCAGAACGTGAGGATTATTATAACATTGCTTGGACAAGTAATTAACACAGAAGAAGCGTTCAGTTTACTGTGTGAAAGAGAGTAGTTCGGTTCATGGAAGAAGAAAGTTTTCTAGTTTGAGCATACTGTTGTAACCCTACTGGCCCCTTTGTCACGTAACAAAACTCCCATTTTTACACCCTTGATTATCCTGGGGTTTAAATCCAACAAGCATAAGCTGTGACAGTTCGTTTCTATATTCAAAGTGGACTTAAAGAAAAAAACGAAGTGTAAATGTGAACCTACCATTTTCGACCTATCACAGTACTGCGTGCACAAGCTAATTTAAAAAATAACAGATTGGGCAGCAACGACTGCACAGGTAGGCACTCTGCAGCCGGATTACCACACATGAGTTAAGCAAAACCTGAATAAATTTAGTGATTGTCAAACACGATAACGAAGGTCGTACTGACTAAGACTCCGTCAGGAATCCTCGAAGTAGAAATAGAGGTAGATGACTTGAAAAATGAGATGGGAATTTAAATAAAATGTTTCTGTGTTCATCAGCTGTGCAAATGTCAGTGGCTTTAGAAATTCCGAAAAATGGACAAACTGTGCGCATATGGTTTCCACGAAAGTTGCAGACGGCGAAAATATGCTGGCCCGCCTTGTCGACTGCAAAAGAGACACATCAAAATCTGTTCCGGAAACATTATTATGCTCTCCTTTTTGATGTCCGCATGCAGGGCATTCAATCCGCAAAAGGCCGACGCACTGCGCATGCTCTCACTACCACGACCCCCTAAATGTACCTGCCAGAATGAGGTCCGGGCTTCACTTTTATGCCTGGCTTCCTCGACTCTTCCAAATGTCTCCTGTCCGTTACGGTCTACGAACAGGTTGAAGGTAGTCATAGAGGGAATCTACCCTACTGGATACAGAACGTCGTGGTGACCAGTACTAATGGAGAAGTGCACATAACTTTTGAAGTTCAGCCCCGTAATACGTCCCACCAAGTGCGTGATCGGTCCATCTGCCATCATATGCATAGACCATCCAGTCCAAAACGTCATTCTTCAGTCATTTCGTTCAAACATTGCTGTGAACCAATCGTTTCCTAGACCAACCTCTGACAGCCAGTTAAAGCACTTAATGAATCTGGTTAATCTATATATCTATCTTCTACTAGCTGGACCCCACCACGCGTTGCTGTGGCTCAGTCTGATGAAATGTACACAAAAAAGGAAGGGAACAGGTTTCTTATATGTGTTAGTGCATAATGCTAGTGGGTATACGATATTTTTGTCATTGCGTTGTCGCTGCAGACACAAATATTGTCTGGTTTGCCGACTCGGGAGCACGCAACGCATAACTGGCTATGTGAGAAGCAATCCGTTTGTAGATCCAAAACTGCTCGATTCCACGGACTGGCCCTGAGCTTTGCTGATCGTGAATGCAAACGGCAGTCGAATCGGGAAATGCATCATCCTAAATGGAAATGGCATGTCAGTTGGAATCAGTGGAATGCGAGGAATAAGGATATACTCTCCTCTAAAAGGTCCTGTCGAGATATTGGCTCCCCGTACGTCGTTCACCAATGGTTTTACTGAAAGCCGCGTGCCGTTGGTAAGCTTCGGCTGATTGATTTCTCGCAGCAAGATAACCGGAAAACCGATTTTCAATTACGCTTATCGCGCCGTCGTCCTCGACAGAGCAAGCGAATTCAAAATTTCTGTGATAATTAACTACCTCGTCTGCTCCCACACCAGTGTCGACAGACGTGCATGGGGCTGCCCGGCTTTGAGCCTTCGACTGAATAGTATGGTTAAGTAGGTAGACTTCTTTGTTCTTGGCCGCAATAATAGCTCGTTCGCTCAGGCAATCGTGAATCGTATAATTGGTTTGAATATTGGGAAGTATCTTTGTAACGTATTCTTATTTTCACGACACTAAGTTGCCCAAAGTAGGAGGCAGTGAAATGCGCCCTGAAGACGGATTTACCGGCACCCATCCGTTCCCAGTTGTCCGCCATCGGTGTGAGAATATCTCAGACTTTCGGTCGTTTTGCAGCTGGAGCACGCCTATGTTTAGTTAATTTTAACGTCTGGACGTGGCACCACCAAGAAGCCTATTTCAGGCAGGCATTTATTTCCTCCGCTGGTGTGTATCGGGGAATTAAAGACAGTGTTGTCCCGAGTCTCCTGCAAGCAGTAACAATGCGTCTCCAAATGGTCTGCTGTTTCCATGCAAACCTTGCAATGGTCGGCCAAGGGCCTCGAGCGTTTTTGTGCGTCATTGTGCATTCACCCCGAACAATAAGTTTGCATTTCTGCAGTAGGTTTCCCATGCCGGATGTCTTGGAAATGTTGCACGTAGGAGTTTCAATGAACTGCACGTTCAACAGCAATTGTAAAGCTGAATGAGCAGTTCTTCCACCGGGTAGCCAGGTCGCAGCTATTCCGGACCACGCAAGAGCCAAGGCTATGTCAATTTTGCATCGAAGTGCTGGCAGAATTAGTCGTAGTAGGAACGCTTTTACCAGTCCCTTTCTGGCGCATCCAAATGATTCCTCCGACCTCGCTATTGGCAGTCCGCATTATTTGATCGTAAATACCATCCTGCTCCAGTGTTAGCTTAGGAAGGTTTGATTAAAAATACGACAGAACATCAACCCTGTTGTAGATTTGCTCACGCCGCAAATCCACGTCTAACGAAGTAGCAGTAGATCGCTTTTGGTGATGGCTTTCCCATTCTATTGAGAACTTTGGTCGTGATTTCTACGCACACATCCTCAATCATTATTAACACTTCGCTGTAGATTTTCTGCTGTGAAATCCACATTTGATTTGTCCTTGCGTATTAGACGGAAGATGCCTTCTGCACACATTCCCTGTGTAATACGTAGGCACTTTCGAATGCAGCAGTGGTTTTGCAAGCGCGTCATTTTGGCTTAACGTGAAGAACGCAGTTAATGTTGTTGCCGGCGGAACTAAGGCAACCTGGTGCACATTTGCGGCTGTGAAGTAAACGCATTGCCCATTCTCTAACTGCACTGCAGGCGAACAACACCTGGACTTCGCTCATAGATGGGGGATGAAAGAATTCGCACACGGCTTTGTTGCTGTTCACGCATCTTCTAGCCCAATACTGTGCGATTTCATCCAGTTGTATGTCCGCATCCTTTGTCTCTTTTCGTGCTGCAAGCCGAAAACGGCCATGTCGCTGCCTTCGCTCACGTACTTACAAATGTACCAAATTTAGTTCCCGGAATTGCAGTTATCCACGTTTATGTGAGCTGCGTTTGCTTTTAAAAGCAAAGGCGAATACGAAACAACCCATCGGTTACCGACTTCTCTGTCACCGATTCGTGTTCGTACGGTTGCCAATTTACCGACGTCTTCCCCTGATCCTTTTCTTCGCCGTGACTTCGGGCAAATCATTGTCAACGTCGGCGTCAGATAGTTCAGCGCATATTTCATCGGCGATTTCGCAGGAGGTGATCTTGTTGTAGAGTCAGATTCAGGCATGCGCGTGGGGCAGTCCCAATCCTTTGCCATTCCCCATAATACATCCAACAGCGCACAGACCCAAACACCTCGTGTTTCACCATTAAGTTCATCAGCGATTGCATTTTCTTCCTGAAAACACGTGCTTGATGGTCTGATTCAAGCGAATAAAAAGCAGGCGTTCAGTTTCGATTTTTGCATACATATCCACAATGCAGTGATGAAGCAACTGACGGCATTTCAAAAGGGGATTACGTACATTCTGTCGTATAATAAGTCGGTAGGAGTAGTGGTTCATTGCGCTGCATTTCATGTGCGTTACCTCGTCACTGACTTCATTTATCATCCTGACGTTGAAGTGATATCCATCAGCACCATCTCCGACTGCCAGTATATATGGTATCACCTTACCCTAAAATCATTAGTCTTCCAACGGTTGTTATCGTACCGTCGTTTACAACAGCATCAGCCTGCGTGAATGCTGAGCACGGAGTCGTGTTTGACGCTGGTCTGCTGTTCCTCGCTGGCGCCACTCGGCCACTCCCAGTTGGCTGTGTTCATCCTGTTGTGAACGAAGCAGGCCTGAAGCTGCAGAACGCGGTAGCCGTGACCGTAACCGGGCTTCCGCAAGCCGAGCTGCACAAAACTGAGCTGACACTGGGTGACAATCCCCTTATGTGGGCTTTGCAGAGGGGGGGTGGGCAGGCGCTGGTGTTAACTGCATCCAGTCCTCACCCCCGAGAATCCCCGAGGCAGCGGTGACGGCCCAATTAGGTGGGTAGTGTGGGGCAAGTTCATGTGGAGCCCAAGAGTTGCGTGTTTTTTTTGCCGCAGGGTGAGTGGTTTGCTCTGGCGGCCCATATTGCATCGGCCCAGAGAGGGTGGAGGGCCTGCTCAAGTGCCTGCAGGGGTGGGTGGTGGGGTGAGCGCGGTCGTCGGGTGGAGCACGTGCGTCTGAACGAATGTCGGTCAAGTGGCCACAGTCTGGGCGCTCATGTGTCCGCGCGGATTTAGGTCAAGTGGCCGCAGAAGGTGGCGTTGGTATGCTGTGCCCTGAAGAATATAGTCCTCTGCATGATGCAGTTGTAAACGACGGTAGTACACCTAAAGTGGTAAAACTACAGATTTTTGTCTTCACATGCACAGAGAGTCCACGCCATAAGCTCGGGTGCGCTCGAGGTGCAATTGCTTACGTTTGTCAGTACGGGCCCCCAGACCTACTCATTACATTCCCATGCAATCCAGCTTGGGGGGGATATTTATCAGCTCCTACTTCCTAGGCTATCGCCGGTGAATAGGTATGACATCACACTACACACACAAAACACTAAAATCGCTGATGAACTTTATGGTGAAACACGAAGTGGTTGGGTCTGTGCGCTGCTGGATGTATTATGGAGAATGGCAAAAGATGGGGACTGCCCCATGCACATGTCCTGATCTGGCTTTATAACAAGACCGCTTCCAACGAAATCACCGATGAAATATGCGCTGAACTATCTGACGCCGACGTCGACAATGATTTGCCCGAAGTCGAGGCGAAGAATACGTTAAATGGACTTTGAGGTGCCCTGAGTCCCAATTGTCCCCCCCCCCCCCTCGACCCTCACCTCCAGGTATGATACACGGAATGTGCTCTAAGAAAGTATCCTCATGCATTCGTATGCACCACAGTTACCGGTAACGACGGAAGTGCCTTATACCGAAAACGACCAGCGGAAGACGTCGGCAACTTGGCAACCGTATGAATGCGAACCGGTCTCCTACAAGTCGGTAACCGCTTGGCTGTTTCGTATTCGCCTTTACTCTTAGACACAAACGTAGCTCACATAAACGTGGAAAACTGCAATTCCGGGAAATGAATTTGGTAAATTTGTAAGTACGTGAGCAAAGGCAGCGACATGGCCGTTTTTGGCCTGCAAAGCGAAAGTAGAGAAAGGGATGTGGGCATCCAACTCTATGAACTCGCGCAGTACTGGGCTGGAAGATGCGTCAACAGCACAAATCCGTGTGGCGTATTCTTTCATCCCCAATCCATTAGCGAAATCCAGGTGTTGTTCACTTGCAGTACAGTTAGAGAATGGGCAATGCGTTCACTGTACAGTTGCAAATGTGCAACAGGTTGCCTTAGGTCCACCGGTAACAACGCTAAGTACGTTCTTAACGTTAAGGCAAACTGACGCGTTTGCAAAAACACTGCTGTATTCGGAAGTGCCTACGTATTACACAGGGAATACGGGTAGAAAATCATCCGAACGACGCAAACGAGGAAATCGAGTGGACGGCCACCTCGGTATATTCAAATGAACTGCGATAGGCAGACTGCACACCGTGCATCCCAATCTTACTTCGTATGGTGTTGGTGAATGTGCCCGGTCCAGTGTTATTCCAGAACTTAAAATATGTCAATGGCGTTACGCATTCCACTTTCAGCAGTGCGCGTCAGGCTCTTCAGTTACTGGAGGACGATCAACGGTGGGACGAATGTATTAATGACGCCTGCTACACGTCCCATCCACATCAAATTCATGCATTGTTTGCAGTCATATTGACCGCATTCTCTCCTTCATCTCCAACAGATTTAGGGGAGAAATATAAATTACACATGACTAAAGGTATCTTCCGTCGACTATGCAAGGAAAATTCAAATGTGACTTGCACAGCAGGAATTTACAGCGAGGCGTTAATAGTGACTGAGGATATGTACACAGCTCAGTATTGTGCAGCTCGGCTTGCGGATGCCCGGTTGCGGTCACGGCTACTGCGTTCTGCAACTTCAGTTCTGCTTCGTTCACAACATCATGACCACAGCCAGCTGGGAGTGGCCGAATGGCGCCAGCGAGGAACAGCAGACCAGCGTCCAACACACCTCCGTGTTCAGCATTCACGCAGCCTGATGCTGTTGTAAACGACGGGACGCCAACAACCGTTGGGAAACTAATGATTTTAGGGTAAGATGATACCATATATACCGGCAGTCGGAGACCGATTCCAACGCAGCATCCATTTACTTTTCGGGATGGTACCGATGGATATCAATTCAACGTTAAGATGATGAATCCAGTCAGTGACGAGGTAACGCACATGAAATGCAGCGCAAATAACCACTTCTCCTACGGACTAATGATTCGACAGAATGTAAGTAGTCCACCTTTTGAAATGCCGTAAATTGCTTCATCACTGCATTGTGGATATGTATGCAAAAATCGAAATTGAACGCCAGCTTTCATTCGCTTAAATCAGACCAAGCTGCACTCTGAAGGATACATTCCTTTGCATGATGCAGTTGTAAACGACGGTAATACAGATAACGTTGTAAGACTAACGCTTTTGTCGTCCACATACACTGATAGTCCACGCCATATGCTCGGGTACGCTCGAACTGCAATTGCTTAGGTTTGTCAATACGGGCGTCCAGACCTACTCATTACATTCACATGAAATCCAGCTTGGGGGGATATTTATCAGCTCTTACTTCCTGGGCTATCGACGGTAAATAGATATGACATCACAGCACGCGTTTTCAGGAAGAAACTGCAATCGCTGATGAACTTTATGGTGAAACACGAAGTGGTTGGGTCTGTGCGCTGCTGGATGTATTATGGAGAATGGCAAAAGATGGGGACTGCCCCATGCACATGTCCTGATCTGGCTTTATAACAAGACCGCTTCCAACGAAATCACCGATGAAATATGCGCTGAACTATCTGACGCCGACGTCGACAATGATTTGCCCGAAGTCACGACGAAGAAAAGGATCAGGGGAAGACGTCGGCAAATTGGCAATCGTACGAACGCGAATAGGTAACGTACAAGTCTGTAACCGCTGGGTTGTTTCGCATTCGCCTTTGCTTTTAAAAACAAACGAAGCACACATAAACGTGGATAACTGCAATTCCGGGAAATAAATTTGGTACATTTGTAGGTACGTGAGCAAAGGCATCGACATGGCCGTTTTCGTCTTCCAGCACGAAAGTAGACAAAGGGATGCGGACATACAACTGGATGAAATCGCACAGTATTGGGCTGGAAGATGCGTCAACAGCAACAAAGCCGTGTGCGAATTCTTCGATTCCCCGTCTTATACCAAAGACGATCGGCGGAAGACTTCGGCAAGTTGGCAATCGTACGAATGCGAATCGGTGACCTACAAGCCCGTAATCGCTGGGTTGCTTCGTACTCGCCTTTGCTTTTAAAAGCAAACACAGCTCACATAAACGTGAAAAACTGCAATTCCGGAAAATGAATTAGGTGCATTTGTAAGTACGTGAATAAAGGCAGCGACATGGCCGTTTTCGGCCTGCAAAACGAAAGGAGAGAAAGGGCTGCGGGCATACATCTCGATGAAATCGCAAAGATGCGTCAACGGCAACAAATCTGTGCAAGTCCAGGTGTTGTTCACTTGCGGTACACTTAGTGAATGGGCAATGCGTTTACTTTACCGATGCAAATGTGCAACAGACCACCGGCAACACACATTAACTGCGTTCTTCCCGTTCAGCCAAACTGACGCGTTTGTGAAAACCCTGCCGTATTAGAAAATACCTACATATTACACAGGGAATGCATGCAGAAAATCTTTTGTACGACGCAAACGAGGAGAGCGAGTGGACGGACACCCCGGGTATACTCAAATAACTGCGATAGGCAGACTGCACAGCGTGCATCCCAATCGGGACGAATGGTTCTTACTCTGCACGGTGTTAGTGAATGTGTCCGGTTCAACGTCTTTCCAGTAGTTGAAATCTATCAATGGCGTTACGCACGCCACTTTCCGCAGTGCATGCCAGGCTCTCAATTTATTGGAAAACTACCGATACCGGGATGTATGTATTAGTGTTGCGTGCAACACGTCCCATCCACATCGAATTCGCTCATTAGTTGAAATCATACTGCCCGCCTGCTCTACTTCATCCCCAACAGATTTAATTAAGAAATATAAATCACACATGGCTGAGGATATCGTCCGTCGACTACGCAAGGAAAATTCCGAATGCGGATTTCACAGCAGGAATCTACACCGAGGCGTTAATAGTGATTGGGGATATGTACGCGAGAAATTCCGAAAACACTTTATAATCAACTGGGAATCTCCTCACCAAACCGAACTGCTGCTGCTTCGTTAGATGTGGATTTGCGCCCTGAGCAAAAAAACGCTGGAGGCTCTCGATCGAACACTGCAAGATGTGCGTGGAAACAGCAGACCATTTGGAGACATTACTGCTACTGCTTGCAGGAGACTTCAGGCAAACACTGCCTGTAATTCCTCCATCGACAACAGCAAACGAAATAAATGCGTCTGAAATACTTTTCTCTATGGTGCCAAATCCAGACGGTAAAAGTAACTACAAATCTGCGTGTCCAGCTGCAAAACCACCGATCAGCTGAGGTATTCTCATAGTAATTGCTGGCAGTTGGGAATGCAACGGTGCCCACTGATCCCACTACAAGAAGGATTTCCCTACGTCTTAGCCTCGACAATTTAGGGTCCTCAAAAGAGGAGTTGGTTGAAAAGGTGTTTCCCACTATTCAGACCACTTTCAACAATCACGGCTGACTGAGCGAGCGAGCTATTCTTGCGACCAAAAGCAAACACGTGTACCATCATTACCACGTTATTACGTCTAAGATTCAAAGCGAGGCAATCAGATACACGTCCGTCGATACTGTTGCAGAAGCAGACGGGGCAGGTTAATTATCCAACAGAGATTTTGAATTAACCTGAGCCACAGCAACGCGTGGCCGGGCCCAGCTAGTAAGTGAATAAGAGTCGAGCATCGGAACATTCTGTTTATTGTCCTGAGCTTTCAGATCCGTACAGGAGTTCATCGTCAGAGGCAGTAGCAGCGGTAGAACAAGCAAAAATTTTAAGGCATGTAGGCGAATCATCAACCGACGGCACAAGACTGGAGGTGATTACGCAGGACTCTGTACGCCGTCGCTAGATCGATAAACCGATTGACCGAGTTCTCATCTGAGGCCCAGGCTTCAATCAATTCTCGGCATGTTTTGTTTCCGGTGTGGGCAACAATTTTGGTGGCTGCAAAGTTAAACTCGAGACCCATTTCGTAGGTGTCGGCGGCCACTTGTGATAATGCGTCGCCTCGTCGCACAGCCAGCTTATGTTCGTGTATGCGCGATCCGAGCGTGCGCCCAGTCCGTCCTGTGTAGTTACAAGGACAATTTTGACACGGAATGCGATACATTACTCCAGATTGCTCATCAGGCATTAACTGATCTTTTATTTTCATGACCATCTTGCGCATGGTGGCTTTGGGACGGTGGGTAATTCCAACACCTAACTCCGCAGCAATGTGCTCGGCCGCTTCGGAAACGCCCTTGATGTATGACAGAGAATGCCATATCGTCGGTGGCGTTGATGTTCGAGTTCTCTGGTGACGACCGCTTAGGCAACGACTTATGAATATCCTCGGATTGCCATTTTGAACAAACTGCTCGCGGAGATAACGGGCCTCACGTGCTCTGACTTGCGGTTTGCTGCAATGAGTTTGGATCCGTTTGAAGAGCTCAGGACAATAAACAGTGTTCCGGCGCTCGACTCTTCTTCTACACTTATCCATACACCTGGAAATCAAAACTTCGCCTTCACTCTAGTTAATCTCTCTCGCCGCTTCCTTCCGCAATGCAGAGATAGATGTTTCCCGAGCGCAGACCTTCCTTGCGATTTGAGTAGCTCCGTAAACACTCATTCGAGATTGTCGCTGCTTTGGACAAGCTGACGTCGACCCTGAATCGCTGACCTTATCCGCCCTGCTGTCAACGTACTGCTGCCGTCGAAGCGGCAGTGCCGCAATATCTCGCAGGTCCTCCTAAATCCTCAAGTCTTTCTCCAGGCAGTTCTCATCTGTAAAGATTTTATAAAGCGTTTTAGGACGCGCATTTCTGGAATTTTAGCTTACCTTTCAACACTTATAGTGCTTTCTTAAGAGCAGGGACATCATAATCTTCACTGTGCTTTCCCCTTCAGTTCTGTACCAACAGGAATAATGGGAAATCCATTTTCCGTGCCACAGCACCTAAGACATCCACAATGTCGACAGAATGAAGTAGCCTGACGCTGTCCAAGCTCATCAGATTTATACTGCAATGATTCCCAGGATCGACCTTAAAGTAGTGGCTGTCGATAGAAGCCGTGTCAGATTTCCCGGGGACGAGATAGTTCCATTCCATGACTTCACGGTTGCGTCTCACCATTGGCGATACCATAATTCTCTCTGACATCTTCACTATCCACTCTTTTATGTTGACAACCCTTCGTTATTTATACGAATTGTGCTACACAGAAAGTGTAACCACAGACAGTTTATTTATGGACGGAGTTGCATTCACAAAGACGCCAGAATTTACACTTGAATCTCTGATTTGCACATCAATCTAAGCAAAATTACACATTCATGTGAGGACAATATTAAGAGAAGCAAGCTGTATGACAGTGGTACAGTCTGATGACGATTACTTTGGGTAGGAAATAGAGATTTTTATGGTCAAGGTTGTTTACGTTGTCCGCATCTTTGATTTGATCCACCCTCGAGACCATCCTGCATTTTAAGCTTCCGGCCACTTTTCTGGTTTCTTTCTCTCGATCTAAAACTTTTCATGTGTCGCGAGTTTTCCGGCGGTTTTGAGCCCGACTGGAAGAAGCACGTGTAATCCAGACCAACCCGTTCTTCCGGGCATCGTAAAGATCGTTGTGGAACATCGGGATGCCTGTTTTCCTCCTTCATCTTGTTCACGGCGCGTCCATCCACTGGCAGAGGCATATTCCGCAGCAGATCCAAAATGAACTGGTGCCTTTAATGAGAAAAATTTTATGTAAAGATAATCAGTAAACAAACCTGTCGAGGTCGAAGGAGAGAAAATACCTGTTCTGAAAAGG